GTTGAAACGTTGATAAAATAAAGCCTTAACTGGCCGAAATGTCTATTTTTTAAAGAACTATGAATACCGGCCAGGCAGCCTCTATCTTATGATAATAAAATTTACAGACAATGTGTTTCTTTTTAATAATATTGTCGCGGAGATAAACAAAGCGAAGGCAAATTTGTGAATACATAATTTATTATAAGGGGTATTTATAGGGAGAGAGAGTGTACAACTTACCCCAAGTTAAAAGATAATCCTAATGAACGGCGTCAGCCACCTTATTTTCCTTATTTACAGATCAGCTTCCGAGAAGCCCTCACACCTGTGCGGTTTGTGCGGCTATTTCACTGGCTACCAAATCTATCCTCAAGTTTGTGCGGTTATTTCACTGGCTACCAAACCTATCTTCAAGATTGTGCGGCTATTTCACTGTCTATCAAATCTATCCTCAGTTTTATGCGGTTATCTCACTGACCGCCAACTCTATCCTCAGGATTGTGAAGCTATTTCACTGGCTTCCAAGTCTATCCTCAGGTTTAAGCGGTTATTTCACTGACAACTAAATCTATCCTCAGGATTGTGCAGCTATTTCACTGGCTACCAAATCTATCCTCAGGTTTAAGCGGTTATTTCACTGGCTACCAAACCTATCCTCAAGATTGTGCGGCTATTTCACTGGCTACCAAACCTATCCTCAAGATTGTGCGGCTATTTCACTGGCTACCAAACCTATCCTCAAGATTGTGCGGCTATTTCACTGTCTATCAAATCTATCCTCAGTTTTATGCGGTTATATTACTGATCACTAAATATATCCTCAGGTTTGTGCTGCTATTTCACTGGCTACCAAATCTATCCTCAGTTTTAGGCGGTTATTTCATTGACCACTAAATATATCCTCAGGTTTGTGCTGCTATTTCACTAGCTACCAAATCTATCCTCAGTTTTAGGCGGTTATTTCATTGACCACTAAATATATCCTCAGGTTTGTGCTGTTATTTCACTGACCACTAAGTCTATCCTAAATATATCATAGCTATTACACTGACTATTAAGTAAATATTCAGGGGAGAGGGGGTTATGCAACTATTTTACTGACCAAAAGTCCATCTTTTGGGGTAGGGTTTCGTGCGGTTATTTCACTGAACACTAAATCTATCCCCAGGATTGCTCATGTAATTAAATGACATCTGATAGTTATTACCAGGTTTATACAGCCACGTCAATGACGTACAATTCATATCCCCAAGTCTACAGCTCTACTTCAGTCCAAGTTCTTTCAGCAGCGGCTCTACCCTCGCCCAATTATGCGGTGCTAACACCGTTGTAATATCGGTAATGGACCTACAAAGCAATAAGGATTTTTATATAGAGAAGGCTATCATTTATTTCCCTTCTTTTATAACACCCTCAAATAAAATATTGTTGATGAAATTTTTAACACCGACCTTGATTTATCACCCACTTTTATTTTGTTACGAGTTAATCCATTAAACCTGACTTTAATTACGTGCCGTTTTTACGGTGGGCTTTCTCACCGCGAGATTTGTTCTGCGATTAATTTGGAAATATTTTAATAAAGGCAGAGTCGATTCAATCATTAATAATGTTGGTGTGGTATACAATGTTACATGCTGTGTTTCTACAGTATTGGGTTCGTACAGTATTGGGAGAGTGTGTTAGCCTGCGTTCTAATATATATCTAATTATATTATGGTCTTAAATCTCTCTCTCTCTCTCTCTCTTGGTCTTGAGTTGGGTAACGCCAGTCATCGCATTGACCTGCCCACTCTGTGGGAAAGAACTCTCGCAGTCCATCGTCGGCGAAATCTTTCCCGCGGTGGGCGCTACCAATGAAGACTTCATTATATTATATACAAGGTGCGTTCATTAATTTCCAGGACTGCTCTGTATCTTTGAAAAAATAAAACAAATAAAAAAACTAATTCAATATTTTTCAAAATATGCCCCTCCTGCCTCAATACACCCGTTCCATCTTTTTTTCCAATTGTCGAAGCAGGAGATAAAATCACTTTTTGAGAGGTTCCTCAAGGTTACCTTCGATTCAGCTTGTATCATATCAACGTTGTCAAATTTCCGTCCTTTCAAGTAATTTTCAATTTAGGATAGAGGAAAAAGTCATTGGGGGCTAAGTCGGGGGAATAGGGTGGATGAGGGATCTGTATGGTTGAATGCTTGGCCAAAAACTGCAAAACAACATGGGCTGTGTGCGGCCGCGCATTACCGACGTGAAGTATCCAGTCATTGTTTTGCCATCTTTCAGGTCTTTTAAGGCGCACTGCCTCCCTTAAGCACCTCATTATCCCCAAATAAACAGATAGTCCAGTCACTGAAGATAATTCTTCTGTTAGATTTAATTAACTCCTTTATTTTGAGCTTGTTTTCCTCGCAACGAAATGATCTTGGACGCCCAGTATGATGATCATCGTTTACCTTTTCCCGACCTTTTTGGAAGCGTGAAAATCATTCAAAAGTTCTTGAACGGGATAAAGCTGCATCGCCAAAAGCTTCTTTAATCAATTCATACGTCTCAGTATCACTTTTTTTTCAATTTAAAACGAAACTTAATGCAGATTCTCTGCTCTTCGAAAATGGCCATTTTAAAATTAGAAATGCGAATCATATTATCAGAGGGGACACCTTTATTTGATGGTTATATAGTGGTTTCAGGGAATAGTTTATCATAAATCTCCAAAATATCTATTCTTCTTTTAATATCATTCTGCTTTCTGGATATGATGGATTCAATGATAAGTCTCTGTTGTTTATTGGGAATGTTGGAGTAATGGGTCTTTGGTTCTGATATGGAGAAGTAATGGCGTTATTTTCTTATATGATGATATTGTAGCAAAGAATTTATTATTTTATTAACAGAGTATCATTTTTGATGTTAATATTTTGCTACTCTGTAAACTTCCCTTATTGCTGATCTTTTTGGTTATCATTCATAGTTTATTCTTGCCTTAAATAAATTGCTGTACCATCCTGAAGTTTGTCTTTCCTAATTTACCACGTGACAATATATTAATGAATTGCTCTCTTGATTCCCGATATTTAGTTTATGTTCGGATATTCTTATATTTAAATATCTGCCAGTTTGGCTTTGTAATATTTGCATTCTATAAAGTATATAGCATTCTTTTTATGTTTATACTAACTTAAAAATCAAATCATACTTTTCTCTTTTCATAATTATATATTTATCCTATTACAATACCCCCTTCTCGCACATGCGAGAGAGAATTGTATGTGTACCGCCAAACAAGTGGTTACACATGTGAAAATGTTTGAGGATATCTGAAAATAAATAAATATCTTTAGAAAAAAAATATTTTTGTATTATAATTCTTAGTTATCATAGCAAGCAATGTTTATTTACCCTATATAGACATTTTCAATTTGTTTTATGTCTAAAAAAAAGCGCACAATAAATATTTTTATTATCAGGTAACATTAGGATTTGTCAATCGAAGTATTCTAGTGAATATAATC